CCCCCCCAACAAAAGGGCAGCAAGGAGGGAGGATTGGGGATGGGATTGAGAGGGGTGCAAATATTGTTTTAAAAAACGGCAATGCATTCTTTTGAAAAGGCTGCTAGCAAGGGAGGACTGAGAGGATGCAAGATAGGCAGGAAGGGATGTAAAATAGACTTTCTGATATTCAGGGTCCTTCTCCCCCCCCCTCCCCGTTTGCCCTCTGCTGGGGAGAGATGAAGAGGCTCTTGGTCTGGATTGGCTGGAAGGCAGCTGCAACTCTGGTGGAGCCCACCCGGATGGCTGGGAAGCTGTGTGTGGCCGGGGCTGCAGCAGGGCAGCCTGGCTTCTCTCTTTCCTTCTCTGCTTCCCTTCTCTGCCCCCCCCCCTTGTTTTTGCTGCAAGCAGTCATTGTGAAAGTATCAGGCTGCAGCAGAAAGGAAACTGCACTTTGTACTGTGGGGGAGGGGGGGGCAACCTTGCAGGCAGGCAGAGATGAAAAAAAAAATCTCATTATAGATTAGCTTTATCAGTGGCTCGTATCCTGCTGGGCCCAGCAAGCGAAAAATAGCTCATTGTAAACAGGGTGGTGTTTGTTTTAAAAAAAAAACACACACCAGAAGCTTCTCTAGCTAGCCAGGTTTTTTTTTTAAACTTCCTTTGGTTGTGCTTCACCTTTGGAGTGATTCTAGCAAAGTGTTTAAAGTTTGCCAGCTTTTGAGTTTTCTTGATAATAAATGGGATGGTTGCTGAGGGGTTTCCAGGCTGATGTACAGTGTGGGACATCCTGGGCCCTCGTGCTTTGAAGCGGAGGACCGTGACACAGAACAGGCAGAGGAAGGGCTTCCACTCCTGTCGTACAATAGTATTTGGCTGATTCATTGAATTCCCTGGTAGCCGATTTCATCAGCACCTGCCTTCCTGGGAGGCTTAAAGCCTTCTGAATAATCCACGATACCGCAGGGATTCTCCTCACCTGAATTCAAACTTCCTGAAGCTTTGAGATCAACTGGGGAATCCAGTTCTGCCTTTGCCTCTTACGTGGCACCACTAAGCAGTCTGAATTGCAAGTTGCATCCTGCTTTGCTTGGGAAATCACTGGGCCTGAGTTAAATATTCTGCGCAAAATTGCTGTTTCCTTTTAGTTCTAGTTGCTGTTTGGATGAACTGTAGCAGCAGTGACCATGATTCTGAGGTCCCCCTCCCCCCATTTGCAGGAAATGACCAGACAAAACCAGGATACGTTTGTCCCCTCTTTGACCTTCTGTGGTGCTTTGCCTAAAGTCCTTCCTTCCCTTCTTAATTCAGGAATGCTGAGGAAAGTGCAGATCGACAAAGCGGATGACTTGAAGCTTATGTCGGAAGTTGCAACGCAGGTTTTCAACGATGGCATAACAAACTGGGGGCGAATTGTGACTCTCATTTCTTTTGGTGCCTTTGTTGCCAAACACTTGAAGAGCATAAATCAAGAAAGCGGCATCAGCACTTTGGCGGAGATCATCACGGAGGTGCTGGTGACAGAGAAGAGAGAGTGGCTGCTGCATCACAACGCCTGGGTGAGTGAGATTCCTGGCCTTTGGGAGGTTTTCTTGCTAGTTTGTTCCTCCTTTTGACAGACCTGGGAATGGGGGAGGAGTGGAAACGTCCGCTGTGCTTAAGGCTAGTTGTCCAGACAAAACAATAACGCTTAAACTCCTGGATGATGGGGGCCTCCCTCGTGTTAACTCAGGATCAAAACGTGAGCTTGTTTTCCTTGACTTGTAGAGGCAGAGATTGCATGACCCATCTTCCTGTTCCCCCAGGAGGGGTTCTAGAGGGGTGGCCTCCTGGGGTTTTTTTACGATAAGGACTTAAGTTCTCCTCTGAAGGGGTTTGAGATAGAGGTCCTATTCTGGAATCCACTTCTCTCTTCCCGCGCTTTGCTTGCTTCCTGGGCATTTTCTAAAGCTGCCAGGTGCTGCTGTTGCTGCCTGTCTCACAGCCATTAACGGTGCCGTTCTTTCTTTTAGGAGGGCTTTGTTAAATTCTTCCATGTAGAGGACCTGGAAGGCAGCATCAGAAACATTCTGGTGGCTTTTGCGGGCGTGGCTGGCCTAGGAGCGAGCTTGGCTTACTTGATCCGGTGAGCCAAAACAGGGGGGCTCTCCCGAGTGGAGCTTAGCTTTGGACTACTCGGTTCCTGCTGTGAGTAGAAAACTGAGCTGTTCTCCTCCTCCTGCCAAGCGGGAAGCAGGACAGCTGGAACGCCCCAAGAAGAAGGATTGCTATGAACTGTCCGGGATAGAAGGTCACCCAGCAAGGATGTCTTACCAATGGAAGTCGCTTTTCCCAAGGGAAGAAACGTGCGCCCTCTGCTTCACTCCCACGAAGCGAGGAGGACTGAAGCCCTGGTGCAGGAGGAGGGGTGCTTGGACTGGCGGCATCGGGCCGTTGGATGCACTGAGCAGTGAGTGATCCGTTTGCACAGTCGTGCCCTCCTGTCTTTTGGAGAATAACGCTGGGCCCGAAGGGGTGTTTGGGCCCAGCCTCGTCCTTAAAGACTTCTGGGTGATCTCTGGGAAAGGAGAGAAAAGGCGTCCTTCAGCCGCTCATCAACACATCGCATTCTAAAGGGCTGACTGTATTTTTTTTTTTTAAATTTTCCCACCTTTCTTTCCACTGCCCTCCTTTTGAAAGCGTTACACTGCCATTAAGCGTGCGCCCTCCCCTCTTGAATCACACCTAGCTGCTCCCTGCAGCCGAGCTCCGTCTGCAACCGTGATCAGTACCATTTGGGACCCACGAAACCTGCAGAAAGATTGCAAAGAGGGTGTTTTTTTTTAAAAAAAACCAAACATTCAGTTTGGATTTGATGACTCTTGATTCATCCCCGCTCTCCCCCATCAGCATATACTGGGCATTTCAGAAAACCTTTGTATCCAAGTTAACAAGGTTCTCGATGTGACTGCAGCGACCAGGTTAAAGTAGCAAAGTATTTTGAAAACCCCTCTTGGGAAGAAAAGGAGCCTTTGGGGGGCTTTCCATCGCCCTGCTTTATTTTTTGATTCTCAAGTTGAGTTTAAAGGTTCCTTTAAAAAAAAAAAAAGCTAAACTTGCACATGAATGTCATTTATCCTGTAAGAAAACAAAAAAAAGTTGTGTGAATTAGCAGTGTGAGATCCTGTGGTACACGAACACACACACACATTCTAGTCTGTGGGCAGCTTCCTGGGTGCCCTCCAGATCTTTCAGCCTGGGTGTTTCCGGAGGATGCCTGACGGCCTTTTCTGAACCCTTGGGGATGAAACAGTTCATAAGCTGCGTTGTCTTTGATTTTTTTCCTTTTTCCTTTTATTCAGGAGAATGGCTTCAGTTAATAAGAGCAGGAGTTTTAATTTGCAGTCCAGAATTGCTTTTAGTTTTCACTGTGCATCAGTCTAGACCAGGAGTATCCAACCATGACCACTTTAATAACCATGGGCTTCAACTAGCTGGGGAATTCTGGGGGAGTTGAAGTCCGCAAAGTGGCCAGGGTTGGACACCCCTGCTCTAGCCCAAATAACGGCAGAGGTAAAAATCTTGGTGCGGTGCTGGAAGACCTGCTTGTTTACATAAACTGTCTAATAAAACCCATTCAGTGATTCTCTCAATGGGAGGAGGTCCTTCTGTTAATACAGAAACCTGAAGTGTTTGTTTTCGCTTTGTGGCTGAATGATTGTCCCTTGTTCTTTTTTTTTGTCCCCCTTTAACGTTGCCAGGCAATTCGTTGGCAGATGAGGCTTAAAATCCTGGACTGGCTTTTTTCTATGGAGAGGCAGGGCTGGAGATCACTTTTAGAACAGAACGAGAACCAGCCAGATTCAGGGACGGGACTAAACCTTCTTTCTTCATTCAGGGTGGCCTGAATTCTGGCTCGGGTCCTGGGGCTTGTCTGATCTGTGGCTTGCCCTTCCTTTTTCCAAATTGCTGGTCTGGGCGCACTTGAGGTGATTACAAAGGTGTCACAGTGATGTGCAAGGAAATCAAAACATTTCACACAGATTAAGTTGCTCCCTTCTATCTGACTCCAGGACCCAGAAATGTGGTTTAGAAGGAAAAAATTGAGACCAGGCTATAGGGAAGTATTTTCATAGGGCTAATAGAATTGGCCTATTGCAATGCCTCGTGTGGGGGTTTATTGGCAGAGTATGCAAAGTTTTTCCTTAGAAATATGCAAAAATGGCACTTCTCTAAGGTTCTGTTTATAAACACTGGTGCCCTGTGTGTGTGTGTGTGTGAGAGAGAGAGAGAGAGAGAGAGTCAGCTAGCTGGGGTTTTTCTGTCCAACCAAACAGGCAGTGCCTGAGGTTCCCCATTTTCACACGAGCAAACCGATTCCAAGTGAGACCCGATTGGGTTAGCCTGTCCGCTTTCCTCCTCTTGACTCAAACCCTTGACTCAAACCCCAGTGGCTGCAATAGGCCCCCCGAGCCTGGATTCCTTTTGATTTCTTGGCAGATCAGAAGAACCAGTCACAAACCCTGGGAGTTGTCTTTTCATCCCAGGTCCTCTTTGGCTGCTAGGCCACTGGGCTTTAACTTCTCTTTTTGTGGTAGGAAAGAAGGGAACAAGGGTTGCGTGTAGCGAAAGCCAGAGACATGTTTATTCTGAAGACCTTGACTTCCAACAAAGCCCAAGTGTGCCAGCAACACGGAGGCCTCACTGATTCCTCCCACCCTGCCCACATTCCTCCCAGGCAGAATCACTGTTTTGCAATCTAGCAATGAAGTGTTTAATATATTATGTGCTTGAATGTTCACCCGGATTAAATTAATTTAACCCTTGACTGTTCAACTTGTCAGTAATGTTATATACATTGGGCAGGCTTCCCTGTCTTAGAATGTCCTGCTTTGACGAAGCAGAGGAATGTATTTGTCTGAATATTGCAAATGTTCTTTTGGGAATTGACCATAAAAAGTTCATGTATTAGTAGACTCTTAATCCAATGAGGTTCTTTGAACTCTCCCCCCCACCCCACCCCCCACCCCCAAAAAAGCTTGTATTACTCCTTGGTGTAACTGATGGACTCGTGCCTTTTCCTCTAACCTGATCTTTATAAATTTCTCAGTTTTGCAATAAGTAGATGGGTGTGTTGGAAATCACTGTCGGGTGTGATGCTGTGCCTTTTTCGAGCAAAGGTCCTACTTCAAAAAAAGCAGATCACAGAATTGCCCATCCCTTGAGAGGATGCCAGCGGGCTTCGTCCTTGGTTCAGCTTCTAGGCAAAAAACTAAAGAGTGCTCGCTCTACAACTCAGAAAGGTTTAACTGAAGCAATCGTGGGCGGGCGGCATTCATCCTCATGAATAGAAAGAAGCCAGATTAAGGAAGTCCAGCAACAAGTGCAAGATAGCCATTTCCCCTTTCTGCTTTTCACGTGCTCACACACCCAATTCACTGTAGAAGCCTCTGCTCTCAAGGTGTGAATGGAAAGGGGAAAAAAAACGTCATTGGCAGCCAGCAAAACCAAAGGGAAGAACTGGTGTCTTATTTTAGGGTTGAGAAAATAAACAAACTTCAGAAAGAACAAATCATTCGGGACTAGCTAAAGTACAGTGGAGCCAAACGCTTTGAATGAGGCTTAAATAATTTGGTCACATGGTGCAAAGGAGTCACTGAAGAAGAGTTTCTTGGAAAAATCAAGAGCGATTGATTGTTGGAAAGATTCTGTTAGGCCTCCCCAAAAAGCTGAACAGTGTTTTTTATTTCATAAACTGGTCCCTGGGATTTTGAATAGAGCTTTGCTGTTAAAATACCCACCCTCCTTAATCTCTGCAAGTGAAGTGTAATTAAGCGTTGTTGTTGTTGTTGACGTCACAGGTTTGTTCTTTCCACTCCCCATGATTTAATTAAGCCAGAGGAAAGTTGGGGCTTTGGCACTAAATGAACCACCTGCTTAAAATCCCCAGTTCTCGTTCTGGCTTTCCTAGCACAGATCCAAAACAGAGACGGGGTGGAGTCGAGCGTTTGTTTATCCCGAGGCATTCCCATCCCTTTTATTGGGGAAAACACACGATGGGGTTGCTGGCTCTCCTCTGTTGAAACTTCTACGGGAACCATCTGGGTGGCCTCTTCCGTTTCGTGACTCTTGTCCCAAACGCCCAGCACCACCCGTGGTCGAACCGTCCTAGAAAGACAGGCGATCAGGGCGATAAACTTAGAAGAACCGTGTTTTTTAATGGAAAGCTGTGAGACTCAATTTCCTGGCCCCTCTGCTCTTTTTTAAAGGGCTCCTTTGGTTGCGTGGTTGTCTGAAACGGAGCAGATGGCTCTCTGTCCAAAGCTCAGGCTGCTCTTTTCCACCATTTCCTGTTCTTTGCCTGCTTGATCCAGGGTTCAAGACAATTCATAAAGGATCCCCCTTGTCTTTTTCACGGCGGCTCAGCCCAGCTGCTTTTCACTTTCTGTTCCTAAAAGGCGGAGGGTGGGGGTGGGGGGGAAAAACACCCATAGCTGGGCAAATGTTTGAGACCATTCTTGTCTGGTGAAGTCATCGCTGGTGGCTTTTCCTGTAATAAGAGCCCTTGCAAATAAATAAATGAAAGGGAAGCTTTTATCCCAGGGAAGGCGGGGTGGGTGGGGGGGCGGTGTCAGCACAGCTGCCTCCAGAGAGGGAAATTTCCCCGCTGGGATGGGTTCCCCCTTTAGTCTGGGTTAGTGTTTCCACCTGGGGTTCGTTATTCCTTGCCTCCCCCCCCCACCCCAAACCCCAAAACTTTAATTCAGCATTTGGTTTGGCTAAAGGATTGCTGATAGGCCTGCTTTAATAAAAACAAAACACGAAAAAACCCCCACACTCCCTCCTGGTCGGGGTCTGCAGTCTTCGTGATAGCAGAAGTCGAAAGCAGAAATGAGATGGGTGTCGGCCAGCTGTTCAGGGAACTGGCCTTCCAGATCTTAGCAGACGCCATTGTCAAATAATGGAAATTTTCTGTTCGAAGTTCCTCCCCAAGAGCCGTTCAGAAGGAGCCGTTTTAATTCTTTTTTTTTTTTTTTGCCAGTTCCTCCTCTGCTCTTCTTCTCTGCCATGTCCTTTTTTGCATCCTACAGCCTGTTTCCTCGGCTACACGAAGGCTAGTCGCACAACACACAAACCATCACTGACCAGCCACAAGGGCTGGTGCCTTCCCCCAATGCGTCAAGTCACAAACGGCACACGGGGTGAAGTGCCCCAAAGGTTGAGAGGGCCAGGCCCCCAAAAGATACAGCCTGCCATGATTTTGTAGTTTTTTTTTCTGATCTTCCAACAACTTTGGGACTGGGGACGCCCTTTTCTTTACCTTCTGGGTTAGAGTTAAAGAAAATAATTGGATTTTTGTCTACTTCTGTCTGGCTCCTGGCTGAAAGTTGCCATAAGAGTCCAGATATTTTATAGGGCAAATGTTCTTGGGGGGTGGGGGGTGGTTTCCTTCCAGGAAGTGAAGCTCCCCATGTGACTTTTAAGCCTTTTTCCAAATAGCAACGCGACGGTCCTTGCGTCTTCAGAAAGAAGAAATATTCATTGAGTAACCATCACGTCTTTAAAAGAAAAACATCCCCCAGAAAGTCTGCCTGAGTCTTTGAAGGTTTCCAAATGCTGGGTAGGCAGCCTTCTGCAGCCCTGAACTCATTCTTCAATCCTGTCTGGGTCTCAAAAGAGAAGCTGCTTTCCAGGGTGGGTGGGTGGCTTTGAAATCTGTTTTTCTGTGTATAATGAACAGGCAGACTTGCTGGGAGGTTGGGAAACGAACCTTGGCTGATTTCTTGGAGTTGCGTTGCTGCTTTTCCGGTGACCGGGCCTTCCATTCGTGCCCCCTCCCCGCTTGCGTCAATGTGCCCAGATTCTGACAGGTTCCTTTGGGTTTTTTTTTTTTAATCGCTTCTTCCTTGGAAATCTTCGCATCTGTTTTAAGAAGCTCCTAAAACAAGCCGCTGTTTCCCCCCCCCCCCTCGGACAGACCTGGGATCTCCTTGTCAACAGATTCTAAAGCCAAGGGATCACACGAGGCTTGCAAAAGGGTACCGGATGACCAGGAAGATACTCAGAGAAAAACCGATGGATCAATTAAGGAAATGGAAGAACAGAATCTATTCTCTGCTTAAACCATATTTGAGCCATAATCGGCTGGGTGTTTACTGCCATAAAACGAAGCCATATAAAAACAGCCTTATCAGCCACAGTGGGCAATTCTTGTGACCTTGCCCTGTGTTCTTTCCACATATTCCCAATATCATGTCAT